TGCACTTTGGAATTAATTTGCAAGTCATATGCATGTGCACACCCCCCCATACCCTCCTACACACATGCCCTTTAAGATATTGAATGTAATTATATTGCACCTATAGAAGTATAATGTTTCCTAATCTATATCTCCACTTATTCAGACATACTTTATCTCCATGAGGTTTCTGTACACTTTTTGTTGCATTCAGTCCTGCATACTTTATATTGATGCTATTATAAATGGCATTTTTTGCTTTATTTTCAAATCTTTTTGGTTCATACACACAGAATTGATTTTGTGTATTAATTTTATATCTGAAAGCTTTTATTAACTCTAATGATTTATCAGCAAGATTATTTTCTATGTATAAAGTCATATTATCCACAAATAATGACAGGTTTCTCCTTTCTTTTAAATTTCTCATACCTTTTATTTTAATTAATTAACTTATTTATGTGTCCTTACTGCACTGACTAAGACTTCCAGGAGATTGGTGACCTTCAGTGGTGATAGTGTGACCTTATCTTATTCCTGATCTTAAAGGAAAGGCAGTTAGCATTATTCAACATTTCACCATTAAGTGTAATATTGTAGTCGTTTTTTGAACGATATCCTATATTAGGTTAAAGAGCTTCTTTTCTATTCCTACTTTGCTAAGAGATATTTTCTTTTATCATGAATAAATGTTGAATTATATCAGTGTATATCTTTTGAAATGGTCATCTGATTTTTCTCTTTAATTTATAATGTGGTAAATGTATAAAGTCAGACTAGCCTTACACATTGATTTTATTTTGTTGGCTATTAATATTACTTTAAGATTTACAGTTTTAATCTTAGAATAAGATAACTCACTTTGTCCTTTTATTTTTAACCTTTAGTTTTTAATAAAAATCAGTTGATTAATCTAAATAAATACTAACTTACCATTTCTTTTAACTCACCATTGCTATTGTATCTCACCTTCTCCTGTTGGATTTATTTTTCTTTTTATTTGAGTATTTTCTCTGTAAATGTTTTCAGGAGTCTGTGGACAATGAATTTTCTGAGCCTCTGTGTGTCTGCATACATACATCACCTTTTGTCCATATAGTCCTAGGTTCCAAATTTTACTCCCCTCACCCCCTGTCTTAAAATATACTTCTCTTTGAATGCTGTGTGGCCAATGGAACAATCTTTAATTTGATTCTCATTCTTTTGTGTGTTTGTTTATTTTGAAACTATTTTATTGTGGGAAAATATACATAAGATAAAATGTACCATTTTAACCACTTATAAGTGTCCATTTAGTAGTATTAAGTACATTCACATTGTTGTGCAACCATCACCACCATCCCTTCCTAGAACTTTTTCATCTTACCCCATTGAAACTCTTTATCCATTAAATCCTAACTCACAATTCCTCATCTCCCAGCCCCTGGCAACTTCCATTCTACTTTCTGCCCCTAAGAATTTAACTACTCTGGCTACTTCACATAAGTGGAGTCATACAATGTTTGTCCTTTTATTACTAGCTTATTTCACTTATAATGTCCTCAAGGTTCATACATATTGTAACAAGTGTAAGAATTTCCTTCCTTTTTTAAAAAAATTTTTATTGGAGTATAGTTGATTTCCAATGTTGTGTTAGTTTCAGGTGTACAGCAAAGTGAATCAGTTATATGTATACATGTATCCACTCATTTTTAGATTCTTTTCCCATATAGACCATTACAGAGTATTGAGTAGAGTTCCCTGTGCTATACAGTAGGCCCTTATTAGTTATCTATTTTATATATAGTAGTGTGTATATGTTAATCCCAATCTTCCAATTTATCCCTCCCCCTCCTTACCTCCTGGTAACCATAAGTTTGTTTTCTACATTTTGGAAGATCTAAATAGACATTTCTCCAAAGAATACATATAGATGGCTAAAAAGCACATGAAAAGGTGCTCAATATCACTAATGATTAGAGAAATGTAAATCAAAACTACAATGAGGTATCACCTCACACTGATCAGAATGGCCGTCACCAAAAAATCTACAAACAATAAATGCTGGAAAGGGTGTGGAGAAAAGGGAACCCTCCTACACTGTTGGTGTGAATGTAAGCTGGTACAACCGCCAGGGAGAACAATATGGAGGTTCCTTAAGAAACTAAAAATAGAACTACCATGTGATCCAGCAGTCCCACTCCTGGGTATAGATTCAGAGAAAACATAATTTGAAAAGATACGTGCACCCCAACGTTCATTGCAGCGCTATTTACTTTAGCCAGGACATGGAAGCAACCTAAATGTCCATCAACAGAGGAATGGATAAAGATGTGGTTCATATATACAATGGAATATTACTCGGCCATAAAAAAAGAATGAGGGGACTTCTCTGGTGGCACAGTGGATAAGCCTCCACGCTCCTAATGCAGGGGGCCCAGCTTCAATCCCTGGTCAGGGAACTAGATCCCACATGCATGCCGTAACTAAGAGTTCACATGCCACAGCTAAAGAGCCCATGAGCCTCAACTAAGGAGCCCTGGAACCACAACTAAGGAGCCCACCTGCTGCAACTAACAGCCAGTGCATCCAAATAAATAATAAGTAAATAAATATTTTTAAAAATGTAATAATGCCATTTGCAGCAACATGGATGGATCTAGAGATTGTCATACTGAGTGAAGTAAGTCAGACAAAGACAAATATCATATGATATCGCTTAAATGAATTTCCTTCATTGTATGGATAGACCTTATTTTGGTTATGTGTTCACTCATTGATGGGTACTTGAGTTACTTCCACCTTTTTGCTATTGTGAATAATTCTGCTATCAACAAGGCTGTACAAATATTTGTTCAAGTCTCTGCTTGAACAGATAAACCCAGAAGTAGAATTGCTATATCATATGGTAATTCTTTGTTTACGTTTTTGAGGGACCACTATATTGTTTTCTATAGAGGCTGTACCATTTTACATTCCCACCGGCAATGGAAAAGGGTTCCAATTTCCCTACATCCCTACCAACACTTGTGATTTTCTATCTGTTTGTTTTTTTAATAATCATCCTAGTGGCTATGAAGTGGTATCTCATTGTGGTTTCAGTTTGCATTTCTCTAGTGATTACTGATGTTGAGCATCTTTTCATGTGCTTATTGGCCATTTGTATATCTTCTTTGGAGAAATGGCTATTAAAGTTCTTTACCCATTTTTAAACTGGGTTGTTTGGGTTTTCTGTTGAGTTGTAGGAGTTCTTTATATATTCTGGGTATTAATCACTTATCAGATATATGATTTGCAAATATTTTCTCCCATCTCATGGGTTGCCTTTTCACTCTGTTGTTGGTATCATTTGATATGAAGATTTTAATTTTGATGAGGTCCAATTTTTTTGTTGCTTGTGCTTTTGGTGACATACCCGAGATATCATTGCCAAATCCAACGTCATGAAGATTTCCCTCTATGTTTTCTTCCAAAAGTTTTATACTTTTAGGCCTTACATAAAGGTTTTTTGATCCATTTGAGGTAATTTTTATATATGGTATAAGGTAAGGGTCCAACTTCATTCTTTCATATGTGGATATCCAAGTTTTCCCAACACGGTTAATTGAAAAGACTGTCCTTTCCTCATTGAATGGTCTTGACACCCTTGTCAAAAATTACTTGACCATATATGCAAGGGTTTATTTCTGGACTCTCTATTTTATACCACTGATCTGTCTATATAGCTGTATTTATGCCCAGACCACACTGTTTTGATAATTATAGCTTCATAGTAAGTTTCAAAATCAGGAAATGCGAGACCTTCAACTTTGTTCTCCTTTATCAAGATTGTTTTGGCTACTGATTCTCATTCTTTTGCATTTAGTGTCTTCCCATGTCTGTTTAAGAATTCAGCTAGGTTTATGAGGATGTGTGATTTATCCATGTGGATGGGAAAGGTCAAAGGAGAAACCAGCTGGGGGTCTGGAGGCTCAGGACCTGCAGGGACAGGATAGGCCATCCCCAGGCTCTGGGCACACCCCCTGACGGGGGCAATCCCTAGATGCAGGTGAGATCCTCAGACTTCACCCAGAACCTAGGTGTTAACATGGAGGAAAGCAAGGTCCCTGTACCCCATGTGGTATAGTCTCTGTAGGGTGCACAGAGGTGACCCAGCTCCTTCCCCTCACCTGTGCAGTCATGGTCCTCCTAGCTCACAAGCATCCTGGGGGTCTGATGACTGAAAGAAAACCCCACATTGCAGATAAGCAAGTGGATCTCAGGCGTCAAGATGCTGTTCATAACACTTGCCCCCATCACCACTGGGGATCACCTTGCACTCACCTGGACTGAGGTATGGTCCACAGGGACCCTCCTGACTCAGGATGCTATCAATAACACTTTGACCCCACACTGGAGCCTGGTGCACCCTACCAGGAATGAGGAGTGGTCATCAGCCTGACCTCTCAAATTCCCTGAGGATCACACCACAATCCCAGCAAGGATGATGAACAGCTTCCTAACTTTGTGATTCCCCATGGACTGTGCCACCTGAGGTTCTCCTGGGATGTCAGAAGTTGGGGTTCTGTCTGTGAGCACCTCTGTGCACCTGCCCTGGAACATCAGCATAGCCTGTGAACTTCTCATGGCTCTGACCTCACAGTCACTTCTGTGAGTTGACACCTGCCTGGGAGACTTTTCCATTTATCCTGACCTACCCCCCAATGCCTGTATTTATTTAAAAATTAAAGGGTGGGATGGTGTGTGAAGGAGGGAGATTCACTATCAAGACCATTTCAAGTTCAAATTCTATCTTGATTGTGGTGGTGGTTACACAGTTGTACACATTTTGTTAAAATACATGTATTTTATTGTATGTAAATTATTTCTCAATAAAGTTAATTAAAAATTTTTAAAAGAGCATTTCAAGTTCATACCAAATATTTTAAATCATTTTAAAATTTGAAATATACAAATTTTAAAATATTTTAAAAAATTCTTAAATTTTAAATTCTCACTTTTAATGGAATGTGAATATTCTCTTTTATTCTTGTCTTTTCCAGAGCTCTCAGGGGCTGTGATCTCATGCCATTCACTGGGGCAATAATGGGCCATTTCCAGCAGGGACGATGCTGCGTTGCCCCCGGTGCCTAACTGCCACCCACCTCCAGAGAATCTCAGTGTCTGAAAAGTAAGTCCCGTGTTCATGGGGCCCCTTGGGACCGTGCTGGGGGGCCAAGTGCAGTCAACATCTCCAACAACAGAGCTTGTAGTGGTCCTGGGAACAAATGACCTGAAAATCAGGTTTAAATCCAGGGAGGAATGATATGTTAATTTATCTACTAAAGTCCATCAAGAGGAAATTGTGAAATGAATTTCGTGTTGCATTAAGATTTGTGTTTAGAATAGTAAACATTACCCTTAAAAAGAATGTGGCTGTAGTGAATGACCAACAGGTGATTTGATTTACACTAATGCAAAATTTATTAAGCAACTTTGTTGCCATCTGTAGCTATCATGATTGATTTTTAAAATGTTACGAGTCATTTAAACAAAAGACAAAAGTCTCATCTTAACATATTAATTGCTTTTATTTTTAATGTTCTTTGTTTTTGTCCAAAAATAGAATTTTTATCTAGCTGATATCAGAGCATAGCAATTCTTTTGCCTTATGACTCTTCAAACAAATATCTTCACTTACTTTTTTGCCTACTTTTCTTTTGATAAACTTCAGATTTATAGGAAAATGGAAAAATAGTATAGTGAATACATATAATCTTCACTCAGAGTTACCAGATGTTTACCCAAATACACACGTGAACAGATACATACACACATGGAGAGATTGTAAATATGGATTTGTGTGTTATGGATGTGTGTTCAGTTTTTGTCTCTGAATCATGTGAATCATGGGAAAGTAAGTTGCAGACATCATGACATACTTTGTAAATATCTCCTAAGTTCATAGATTGTCTTCTTCAAAGGTATACTATGATACCATTATCACTGTGGAAGTCAACACTGATAAAGTAACATTATCTAATATATAGTCCCAATTCAAATACCCCTGGTTGCCCAAAGTACTCTTTATAGCTGTTTTCCCTTATCTAGAATTCAATTACATGACATGCACTGAATCTGGTTATGTCTCTTTAAACCTGAACCAAAACTGTTTTTTGTGGTGCTGACTTTTTTTTTAAGAATCTAAGCCGTTTGTTTTATAGAGTATCTCACAGTTGTCTGACTGTTTCCCTCATGCTTAGCTCCAGGTAGACATCTTGTGTATTTGCCTCACATCAGTGGTCCCACCACATTATCGTGACCTGGTATTGGTAGTGAACGGTTCACCTGGCTAAGGTGATTTCTGCCAGAGCTCTCCTTTATGATGTTACCGTATTTATTCTTTTCTAATTAATAAGTAGTCTGTGGGGTGAGCTTTGAGACCATGGGAATATTCTCTTTCCCAGATAATTTTCACCCAATGGCTTTAGCATCCATTGCTGGTTGTATTATGATTTTTCAGGCCATGGGAATATTCCCTTTCCCAGATAATTTTCACCCAATCGCTCAATCAGTGCATCAGACTCTCTTTCCTGTCACATAGTCCTTCATTTTTCGCTTTTTCCACGGCTGTGAGATATCACACAAGAGAGTATCTGGGTGGTCAAGAGAAGGACTCTGAAATCAGACCATCTAAGGTGTGCCCCCTTGTCTCTGTCATACCCTGACCCGATGACCTTGGGCAAAGGCTTCACCTCATAAACCCTCAGTGCCCTTGTCGTTAACTCTGGAGACAAGAGTAAGTCCTGCGAGAGGTGTCCGGCAGGTCTGGAGCCATGGTTGGTGCTCACCGGGTATTATTACAGAGGCAGGGAGGATGGCTAAGTGCCCATTGGGTACTGCACCACCCCTGAGATGGTTTGTAAGCCATGAAAGCTGATTAAGACCTTTGGCCAAAAGGCTGATGAACCTGAACAACAGAGCAGAGGATCCCCCTGGTCTGAGTGCTCATAAGTGCTCATAAATCATAAGTCCCTGCGGTTAGGAGGTTGCATAGAGAAGCAAACTCACCATGGCAGGAAGCATCCACCAGCGAACAATGTCCCAGTGAGGTGCCTCCACCACTGTTCTGGTTACTTCTCACGCTCTCCGTCACACTCCCCTCCTCCCTGCGCCATGCCTGGACCTCCCTGGCCTGCTGTCTGTTTGCGTTTCAGTCACAGGTTACTAATTGGACTTCTTGTCTGAAGGTTATTAGATTTCTTTCTGTTTAGATTAAGTACCCATGGTTTTATTGAGCTCTCTGGCCATGGAATCTTCCTTGAGAATGTTTTAGAAATTTTACCAAGGAAATAGCTTAGGAATATACATGTGATTTACAAGCTACACATGGACATGGATTAGACTGGGTCTAAAGGAGGGAAAAAAAGATTGCCGCTGGAGAACACTTCTAGCTAGAGTATTTTCAGAATGCTTCCTCTGTACATTTTACTTGTCTCGTTTTCTTGCCTGCAATGCTTTTGTTTTCTTTTTTTTGTGTTTTTTGATTAAAGTATAGTTGATTTACACTGTTTTGTTAACTACTGCTGTACAGCAAAGTGATTCAGTTATACATATATATACCTTCTTTTTTTATATTCTTTTCCATTATGGTTTGTCACAGGCTATTGAATATAGTTCCCTGTGCTATACAGTAGGGCCTTGTTGTTTACCAGTTCTCTATGTAAAAGTTTACATCTGCGAACCCCACCCTCCCCCTTGGCACCCTTCCCCACAATTCTTAAAAGCAAATGAGGGCTGCTCTGATAAAGGATGCCTGTGGCTGCATCCAGCGTGCTTCCTGCTTGTCAGGCTGAGCTTGTGGGATGTCTCTGTGGTGTCACCTCTTCTCCTGCCTCCTGGGGTGATGCCAGCCTGGCTGGCCCATGGTTAGCCAGGGCAGGCTAGGTCCTGCAGACCCGGGGGTGACACCTCTGTGTGGGGCATGGACCCCAGCTCAAAGCTCCCCTGAAGTCTCCCAACTCCTCCTTCCGTTTTCCTCCTTCTTAGCCGTTCACGAGCCGGGGACCCTCTGCCTGTCTCTGTGTCCCCTTGGGATGAGCTCCTTGGGGAAGGGACTAGGGTGCAAGTGTGACATAATACTTGATGGGATGGGTGAAGCTCAGTCGAAAATCAAATCTCTGCTTCTGCAGAAACACAGAAGAAATCACTTGGGTTTCTTTGTTTTTTTGAAATATAGTTGATTTACAACGTTGTGTTAGATTCAGGTTACAGCACAGTGATTCACTTATACATATATATATATAAATATATATATTCTTTTTTTACGTTCTCGTCCATTATAGGTTATTACAAGACATTGAATACAGTTCCCTGTGCTATACAGGAGGTCCTTGTTGGTTACTTGAGTTTCATTTGAACACATGGATAGAAATATCAGGGCTGCCTTTTTTCCGTTTCCCAAAGTGCACCCTGGGGAATTTCTGCCCACTTGGAAACCTGAGTTACCTGGTTTTGTGTAAGAGGCACACTCCCAGCCAGTGTGCTTGAGGATGGCACGGAGGTGGCTTGAAGCCAAGGAGAAGCCCCTCTTGGAGAAGCCTCCTCCCAGAGCTTGGCAGGTCCTGGGCCTCGTGGGGCGCCTCCCTGGCAGCCCTGGGCCGGGACCCTGAGTCCCTCTCTTCCCACTCCCTTTTTTCCACTTCCTCGCCCCTGACAGGAGCTGCGGTGGTTGGGGTGGCAGGGGGAGTCCTCTCCTGCAGCTGCTTGCCTGAGTCCTATAGGAGCTCACGTTTTTCTGGGGCAAGTGTGAGCAGGGCACTGTATTTGTCTGTGTCACACACACCCACACCTCCCCAGGAAGGACAGACCCTGCAACAGCCCCGGACTAGCTGGCATATCCGGGCCATGAGGAAGGACGGCGGAGCGGGGGGCCTGAGGTCCACTTGGGGGACCAGGCTCTGCCCAGGGGTGCCAAACTGTAGGGCCGTGGGGTGGGGATGCTGTGCTCCACCCATGTGAAGCGTAAGCCTGTGGGCTCTGAGGTTCCAGGGTCTCAGGGTCAGGTGTTCACTCCCACTCTCCAGCAGGGTGGCCACGACCCCCAGGCTGCCCGGGGTTGGGGGGGGTCAGCAGTGTCTGGGGGGGGGGTTGTCCTCCCAGCAAAAAGAAAAAGAATTATTGAGATCAGTTGCCTCAAACTTGCTCTGACATTTCCTCCAAAGCTGCAATGCTTCTTATTTGGTCTTGATCCAATGCTTCGTGTTTGAGTGAAACTGGTTTCACCATTCTTTCCTCGGGGGAGTTGTACATATATATTTTCTGCTTAAAAATGCCATTTCTTTCTTAATTCAAACAGTTGATCCCATATCTTTAACTTCGTATGCATCCATTTAAGTATAGAAACAACCTTTTAAAAATTATGAGTTCTTTTTTATTTACAAAACAGAAATAGACCCACAGACATAGAAAACAAACTTACAGTTACAACCGGGGAAAGGGGGTGGGGGATAAAATCAGGAGTTTGGGATTAACATATACACACAACTGTATGTAAAATAGATGACAAGGACCTACTGTATAGCACAGGGAACAATACTCAATATCTTATAATGACCTATAAGGGGAAAGAATCTGAAAAAGGATATATATATATATATAACTGAATCACCGTGTAAAACAGGAATTGCTATCCTCATTTCAAAGGTGAAGCAGTGAGAGCCAGGGACGAAATTGATTGTCCCAGTTTATTTGCAGGGCTGTTTGCATTTGTATTTTAAGATAAGTGTTCGTAGTGACTAAAGATTGGAACTCAGGTATCCAAAGAACACAGTTAGTAGCTTAAACACATTCAGGTCATAAATTTGTCAGGTTAGTATAGGAAGCTGGTTGGGTTCTTAAAAATCTACCTATCTCAATGTCAGCTATTATAAAATGTTCAGAGCCATCCAGGTTGATGGATGTCTATAAATGTCTTTTTCCTTTTTATTTGTTTGTTCCTTTGTTTAGGTAAACTGGCTTGTTCTGTTTGGAGAGATAGAAACTTAGATAAGACTGAATTTTACCGGTCACTAACACGTGAATATTCAACAAATAGGAGCCTGTTAAAAAGCCCAAAAGCTGAAATTCTCCTGTGCTTGTGAAATTTAATTATGTTTTAATGGAAAAGAACTATGATATCTATTCCCTTTG